ATTCCACATCCAAGAGGCTGATTGACTTCTTTTAACATCAAAGATTGACGAGGAAGGGAAGTACCTGCTTTTGAGCACTTACTTACTAAAAGATCAGGTGTTGTAGTTACTCTCTATAGTTGGTTGAGCAAAAGAGCTTCATTAAAGAGTTTATAATCTTGAAAACCCAATCCTCCATTAACTTTAGGAATAGTAATGTTGTTCTATTTCTTCCAGTGCATACCTCTTTCCTGACCTTTTCCCTTGCTCCACCAAAAGCTGGTTGTTATTCTACTAAGCTCATCACAGATACCCATTGGCAGCTTAAAGAATGACATTGAAAACACAGGCAAAGCATTAATAATAGCTTTAATAAGTACTTCTGTACTTGTTGTAGATAGATAGATACTTTTCCAATTGGCCAATCTGTTTTTCACTGCTTGCACCACATATTCAAAAGTCTCATTTTTTGACTTCTCTATACCCAAAGGAAGTCCCAAGTATCTGGTGGAGTTATGAGCTTGAATATCTTCCAGCTACTAAAGAATGCAGTTGATTTATCAAGATTCACTTTCTGTCCTGAGAAGCTCTGGTATATAGATAGTATGTTATAAAGTCTTCTCACTTGCTCAGTCTCAGCTTTGCAGAATACAATTGAGTCATCAACAAACAAAAGATGAGTAAGAGTGGGACCCTCACTTGAAATTCTCAACCCTCTAAACCTGCCATTATCGGTTGCCCTTTGATCAAAGAAGAGAACACTTCAGAAACAACAAGAAAGAGATATGGAGATATGGGATCTCCTTTCCTTATGCCCCTAGTTGGGCACACATATCTTTTTTGTTGACCATTTACTAAGAAAGAAAAGGCAAGAGAAGTAACACAGATCATCACCCATTGAACAAATTGCTTCTCAAAGCCCATTTTCATCATTGTACTACAAATATACCCCCATTCCACCATGTCATAGGCTTTGAGCATATCAAGCTTCAAAGCCATAAAGCAATTACCCCCAGACCTGTGTCTATTAAGGTAGTGAAAACATTCCTGAGCAATAATAGCATTGTCCATTAATTGTCTTTTTGGTATGAAATCTGCCTGAGATTGATTAATGCAGACATCTAGGCAAGTTTTCATTCTTTCTGCCAAACTTTTAGCTATAATTTTATACACCACCCCATACAAGCTTATAAGTCTGAATTGAGAGATTGAACTGGGTTGGATACATTTGGGAATTAAAGCAACAAGTGTATGATTCCAGTACCTCAACATTCTTCCTCATTAGAAAAAGCTGATCACTGCATTGCACAGGTCCTCCTTGAGCACTGGCCAGAAATATTGAAAAAACAGAGCTGTCATTCCATCTTCACCCGGTGCCTTTGATGGATTCATTTGAAATAAAGCTTTTTGGAGTTCCATTTTACCAACTGATGCTCTGTTATTCATTTGAGGAGTGATTACTTGCTCAATGTTCTTAAGAGCTTCAGTCTCATGATTAGACCCCTCTGAAGTGAATAGATTTTCATAGAAGTTCACCACATGCCCTTCCATTTTACTCTGAGATTAGAAGATCATATCCCCTTCAACTATTCTAGTTATTGCTTTATGTTTCCTCCTTTGGACTGTCATGGCATGAAAAAATTTTTTATTTAGGTTTCCCTTTTTGAGCCATAAGACCCTAGATTTCTGATGCCAAAAAGCCTCCTCTGAACAATGAGCTTTATCCAGTTTCTTCTGAATTTTCTCCGATTCTGTCCAATTCATATCCCCTCCAAGCTTCCTCATATCCTCTAGCTTCATGGTGAGTTGGTCTATTGCCTCCTTGTTGCCTGGCTTGAACACTTTAGCCCATTTCAAAAGAGTTACTCTTGTTTTCTTTATTTTTTCTTTAAGTCTGAACATATGTGTCCCTCACTCTTCTTCTTGCCAGACATTCTTGACCACTTCCTCTATTCCATCTTTCTGTGTCATCTCTTGTTAAAAGCAAATCTTCTTTTGTAACCAAGGCCCTTGCATCCATCCTCCAACAACAACATCCCATGATCTGATGCACTCTTGAACAAATTAGTGATTTTCGCTTGAGGGTGTTTTATCACCCATTCCAGAGAGGTATATCCTTTATCTAGGGCTAGCTTCTTTCACAAAGCCCTCATCAACTCTGTTGTTGCCCCAAGTGAATTTGTGTCCCTCCATTCTCAGCAAACACATACTCATTTGTGCAATGAAATTGTTAAATCCTTGAAAGCTCCTCAGTGGCCTGTCCTTTCCTCCCTTATTCTCCTCTGGACTACTCATATCATTCTAATCACCCATAATAACCCAATTCTACCCCCCCCCCCACTTATCTTTTTCTCTCAATAGAAATTCCCATTGTAGCTCCCTTTCTTGTTTTACTGTGCTGAGATACACAAATATATCCCACTCACTCCTGGTCCCAGAACCTATAGAGTAATGGACCTGGATGCTGAACCCACTTCTCACCACAGTCAGAATATGCACATCCTTGTCCCAACAGAGAAGCAACCCCCTTTAGTACCTTGAGGCTCCTCATATAGCCACCTTCCTTCAAAACCTATCCTCTGACAAACTTTTGAAACAAAAGACAAATGTTTTTTTAACTTCTGATAAGAACACAAAAGTTGGATGGTGAGACTTACTAGCCTCTCGCAATTGGTGAACTGTAGAGGGCTCACCCAACCCTCTATAATTCCACGCCATGGTTTTCATTGGTGAGGTTGGAGCCATTTATGGCTGGCTGCCTTCACCATTTGCCCTTGAGTTTTTGATTTCTTTCTACTGATTTCTTCCTCTATCTGTTGGTTATTCTTGGATGAGTTGGGTTTTGCCATTACTGCAGGTCTTTTTTTCTCCATCAGTTCAGTGGCTTCCACTTTTGTGTTTTGCTTCATTTGAAGTCACCTGCTTTATCTGCCTTGTTTTTCCAAGTTCTGGGTTGCTTAGATTCTAGCTCTGTCTTACCAGTGGTTTCTGCTTTGTCACCAGAGGAAGCTAACACCATATCTTCCGAGTTGCTAGCTACTACCATAGCCTGATGTAGAGAACGTAATAAAGGCATAGAAACTTCATGCAGAATCTGTAATGGAACATCAACTGTGAAAGGCCCTATTATTTCTTCAATGTTGCTTTGCTGCATTTGAAGCTCCTTAGACTGACGAATTCCTATATGTTGACTGTCCATTCCTACTTGATGAATCTACTTCACCTGCTCCCTCCCTTGAAGAGTTCCCTTTTCTGATGGTCTACCTGGTTGTTGCTCTCTGATTCTGTCTGATTATTCTGATTAGGAGATTCGGTCCAGTGAGCTCCTTCAGCTGCTCTCACCCAATCACCATATTGTCCATCTTTGAGTTCATTAATTTCAATGTCTAAAATCCTCCTTTTACAGTTCTTATCTATGTGACCTATCTTGCCACAGTAGTAACAAAGGTTCAGTAACTTCTCAGATTTGAACTGAACCAGAACCACATTGTCCCCTAGCCTTATCTAGGCCTACCTAGGTAAAGCTTCAGCTATGTTAATAGTAGCAAGGATTCTGAGAACCCTCCCTCCCTGACTTCCCACTCTGGCTATGTGAATATTTTTAATTCATATGAACATACTTTTCAGCTTCAATCCCACCTCTGTGCGGAGCCAATTCAGGGGGACATTATGAACTTGAACCCACAAACTGATAGTTTAATAGCTTTCATTATTTCATGTTATTCTATCTTTCCAAGTTTGTGAGATTAAATATTGCCCATCAAAAACCTAGTTCCTATTTAGAGCTACTTTCTCTTTATCTCTGATTGATTGGAATATAAACTGAAAAAAATTGTTGTCCAATTCTTTAACCTCCAGGGCGTTGCCTACCTTCCAAGCCTGAGCCATTACTCTTCTGATACCTTTCCAGTTAGCTCTTTTTTCCCCAGTCACTTTTCCAAACAAACTCCTACTACATTCCTCTGCACTAGTGCGAACATCTCTGTCTTCTAAATCGATGAATGAGTTTTCTCTTTCTAATAAGGTGAATTTTTCCATGAGTGATCCCAATGCCTCCTCTTCGTTCTCCGTATCCATAGAAACCTCATATTGCTAATCTAGTCTCTATACTGCCACCTTCTCACAAAGCCCCAAATCACCAAGGTCAAATTAGGGTTATACCAAACCAACGACCAAATAACCACATAATCCTCTCAATCTGCTACGAAAACTACCCCAACTCAACACCACCACTCTCACAACAAGAGACAGAAACACTAAGAGCATCCACAATGCTTTGGGTCTCTTTTTGCATATGTAGCAAATAAATAGACTTAAGGCCATAATGACATGGACTAACCCAAGCTAAAAAATCCAAAATCTATCTAATGCAAAACAAAAAACTACTAGGTCTAGAATGCTAAACAACCAATAAAAATATAGTAATAATAAATGCATACAAAAAAATGTGTTTTGCCTATTAAACAGAAAAAAAAATTGTGAACAATTAATGACTAGGTGGGTTTGCACTTGGGTCCAAAATAGACCCAAGTGTGGACTTAGTCTTTTTTTTCTAGTGCCACATAAGTTAGACTAGGTCCACTTTTAATTGCATTGTGAAACATTTTTTTATAGACTAAGTCTATTTTTTACATGGCATGTGATTTTTTTTAAGAGACCCAATGTATTGTGGGTGCTCTAAGAAAGAGATTGAAAACTCTCATGTGAGAGAACAAAAACTCTCAAGTGAGAGAAAAAGATACGACTGTATGTGGATTTGAAAAGGTTTACTACAAAGGAAATACTTTTAGATCTATTTAAATAAATGTATAATTTATAATTAAAATTAATACCGGGTTCAACAATTTGATTATGGTGACCCGAGGGTAGAACCGATGGTCCGATGACCCGAAGGCCTTCCCTTCGGGCCAAGTTTAAAAACTAGGAAGCCATCTTTGACCCTATTCTGTTCCTCGTTTTTCTATTCCTCGGCGGCTGCAGAGCTACACTTACTGCTGAGCTCTCCTCAAAACTTGACTAGCATGGATGCTGCCCAGGTATATCTTCATCTGTCACCCATAAACACATCGATGCGTCAATTTTTTTGTCTTCGCGTATGAGCATTGTGTATAAAGACTAAGGAGTTCGTTTGGCAGAATAAGCTGTTCCGAAGACCTTGATATTTTCGTAGAATTTGTGATAGTATAAATATGTTTACTCTCTCGTCATTGGTTTTTGCAGTTCAATTACTCTTTTGATAACTTCTCTTAGTCTCTTATGATGAAATGATTAGCATATAGAGGTGAATCTTTGGAAGGAGTGAAGGAACCTGCATAAATTCTGTATTTTTTGGCACCATATTATTCGGATTTCAGTTTGAACGATTATTTCTGCAGCCCTATTGCAGTATTGCTGTTTAGCTAATGCCCTGGTCCTTGATTTGTGGCAGCTCGAGAATGATGATGAATTTACTATGGTTCTTGAGCTTCTTGAAACCGACCCTCTCTTTGAGAAAAAGAAGGCATGAAAATGTTTGTTCTTCCTTTATTTAAATCATGAAATGGAGCTGGAATTATCAAGTTCCTATAGTTGGCTTTTTTTTCTTACGATGTTTTTCTTGTCACAGAAAGTGCTTCAGGATGTCGGTCTTGATCCAGAAAGTTCAGTGCGTGTCGAAAGCTTCTCTACTGCACAACAAATGAAGGATGTCTTAGATGTATTGGTTAAACGAGCGAGAATCATAAACTTCAATGAGGTACCCTTTTCGACTTCCAATAATTTCAACCACCAGTAGAACTAATGGGACTTGATCATACATTGCAATAGCATATCTAACATAAAGATATACGCTTCCAGAAGCTGCTGAAGTTTAAGGACTTTTAGCTTATATGTGACAATTGGAATTCTATTAGCTTGATGAATCCAATTATTTGTTATACACTTATATGTGACAATTGGAATTCCAAACTGAAGTATCCGTGGGTTTCTAGCTTAAGTTATTGCTAATCTGAAGATTCACAGTATAGCTCACGTTAGTAAGAAGAACATGTTGAATTATAACAATTTGGATCAATGGTGATGGTGTTGGCTTTAGGATGGGCAGAGTTTACCTGTAATCACAGGCTCTGCATTTTCCAGCTTATACATTCCGAGGCTGTCTTTTGACTGAATCAGTAAGACCGTAATTTTTGCCAGAATATTTTGAATGTAATACGATCTGTCCAAGATTTGAAAATGTGACATGTTAAACAAAAGAAGGTAGCAACAATGGGATTTTTATCACATCTCAAATTCTTTTGTAATATCTTAGGCTCTGTTTTTTTCATTAAATTTCCAAAATCCCTGGGTCATCATTGTTCAAGTTGCAATAAATTCCCACAAGTAACTATGTTTATTATTTGAGTGACTTGTGTTTCAGGTGGAACTCTACTTTGGAGGAGATGTTATAAATTTGGGGGATTGTATTAGTCCAAGAAACGAACTGGAAGCTCTCCACTCTGTTCTTCGTGTCGTTGATAAGTCACTATTTGGTGAAAGTTACAAAATAAATGATATGAAGGAGAAATTAAAAGAAGAAATCATAAATAGGATCAATGGATTTGGGAAGATATATACTGAACAAACAAAAATAATTGGAGACTTCAGCTGTGGAAAAGAAAAGGATCTGTTAGATTGGGGTGTCACTAATGGCGTAAAATCGAAGCTGGACATAGCATGTAAGTCCAATTTGTTCTGTTACGTTTTCCATTCTCTAAATGAAAAAAAAAAAGAAAAAAAAAAAGATGGCTGCTGCAGTTGTAACACTTGTGATTGAGAAAATAAAAATAATGAAAGGCGTAAATAAAAAGTAAGCTCTTTTATAAAACAAATGCCTAGACGTTGAAGGAGCAGGAAGAGGAGCAATAGCGAGGGAGAACCTAAAAGTTGGAGATAATGCTCTTGAGGTCCCTGTATCTCTCATCATATCCGGGGATCTTTTGAATGAATCTGATATGGTAATCTTATGTTTTATATAAGTTTGTGTTTGAAGCCATGCTATTAATTTCCCTTGTTTTGTATTATAAAAAAAAGTATGATATCGTGAAGGTAGTTTCCTGTGCTTGAAAATATTTGTGGGATATCTGAGGAGACTATGTTGCTCCTGTGGAGCATGAAGGAGAAGTACAACAAGAAGTCCAAATTTAATTTGTATTTTGATACTCTTCCCGAAAAATTTAACACAGGTCAGCCTTGTCTTATCAATTAAACCTATAAATTCTCATCAATAGAATTCATCTAATTCTATTGCTACTTCTGGTTGAGATACATGGAACACTCCCAAAGTCTGTGTTCCTATCAGTTCTCCTGTTCTTATACATTTCCTGCCAAATGTATTTGCCATTTGCTTTTACTATTTCATGACTCAGGATTGAGCTTCGGTATCGGTGCTCTCATGGCCTTAGATGGAACCTTGTTGTTAGAAGAGATTGTGCAAGCCACAGAGGTATTGGGTCTTTCGACCTTTGTCCAAATTTTTGCTCTGTAATATTTCTTTTCTTCATAATGTTTCGACAACATGGTGTGGAGCTGTTCTAGAAAAAAAAAAAATGATTTATCTTGAATAAAAGAATTCTGTTATTCTTATTTTTATAATAGTGCCTGCTTTCTTGTTTGTGTTCCAGTTCACAAGATATGTGAAATTAAGCTCACACATACTAGAACTAGACTGGTATCCACTCTGATTTCAATTGTTTCATTGGCTTCATAATTTTGTTACTTTTGACCTGTTTCTTACGTTAATTTCTCGGGTGTAGATGAAACAAAGATCCATTCATTAGGGGGGAAAGAGCAAGTAGAAACACTTAACCGTATAAATTCAAATTTTCACTCCTGGAATTGGATGAAAGATTTTAAGGAACTATATTCTATTTGTGTTGGATTATTCTTTATTAAGAAATAAAATACAGTTTCTAATTTGTATTTTATTTTCGTAATCAGTTTCCTACACTTGATTTGCTTTTTTAGCAATTTTTTCCTCTTTATTTTTATTTTAAAATATTTTATCATCTCTTGATTAATAATTATTTTCCAGCACCTGCGGAAACAATATGATGAGTTATTTCCAACATTATCAGAGAGAAATCCTGAGGTATTTCCACCAGAGTTATATACATGGGAGAACTTCTTATGGGCCTGTGAGCTATGGTACTCTAATAGTATGAAACTCATCTTCCCTGATGGAAAGCTAAGGACCTGCCTAATTCCTATAGCTGGCTTTCTCAATCACTCGGTAGTGTAAATCCTTCTGCGTGCATATTCTTTTCTTGTTTGTTCCTTTGCTAGTTTGAATAATTTGCAAGAAGACTACCAAAATTGCCTAGTAAAAAAAAAAAAAGGTTCTTCCTTTCTGCAATCCTCTCTTAAGCCAACTATTTTGTTTCTCCTTACAGACGTGCCCTCACATAATGCATTACGGCAGAATTGATGCCACGACAAATTCCTTAAAGTTTCCTCTATCAAGACCATGCTATTCGGGTGAACAATGCTATCTTAGTTATGGACATTTCTCCACTTCTCATCTGTTGATTTTCTATGGCTTCATACCACGAGGCGACAATCCCTATAACATCATTCCACTCGGTACTTTTCTCAAGCTTACCTCATTTATTATTTTGTAATACTACGTACAAGTCAAATGTGCGATACTCTAATCTTTCTAAAATAGTTACGATTGAATTCTCTTTAAATGGAATTACAATTACAAATATCTGTGGGATTTGGCCTATCATTAAAACTGAAATAGTAATGCTTTTCGTAGATACCCTTATTAACATTTATTTCGATTTTTTAAAATTGTACTCTCAAGAGGAGGTAGTTGAAGTATAACAGGGGGTCTGTTGTAACTTTGGGGGATTATCAGGAGATAGTTTTTGTAATTATGTTTTCTTTTTGTCTTACATTTAATTCGTTGTTACTACGTTTAACATTCTCAGATATTGATGTTGCTGGGGATGAAGAATCTGAGTTTGTTGCACGTCCATCTGAATGGAGCTCGCACATGGTGCGTGGAACATGGCTCTCCAAGAACCACAATATCTTTCACTATGGTTTGCCAACTCCATTGTTGGATCATCTACGTGGGGCCAGAAATTTAGCCAGTCCATCAAAAACCCTGGTAAATCTCGAGTCTGCTTACTGTGAAACAATATAGGAAAACCATGCTCTTGTATTATAGACGCTGTTTTTCGTGAATCAACTGGGTTTTTCAGACACGGGAGCACCTGGAAACTGACATCGATGTTCTTAGAGACCTGAGATCTACATTTGAAGGGATGATGGATGGTCTACAGGATGAAAATCCGGATGACGGGTAATTTTTGGCTAAGCTTAGATATATTATAATTTAATATAAATTATAAAAACCATCTTTGAGGTTCAGATTTATTACAATATCACGTTAAACTTCAGAATTGCGAAACCTCATTTGCGTTTCTTTCATTTTTTCACGAAGTACACTTATTTGGTGAAGGCGGAGAAATTTGTAAACAAAATGCAAAGGGTTAATTACAAAAGCGGAGATTGAGATAAAACCTAATTGCAAAAACAGAGTTATCTTCTAAACATGTCATACGTATCCTCAATGTTTGATTGTATTGTACAGAAGTTCACCGTTAAGAGGAAGTTGTTTCTAAGTAAACACAAGCCTAAAGGTTGAAACTGTGATGTTTCATAAGTTATGCGGTTTTTTTTTTTTTTTTTTT